AATAATAATAATAATAATAATAATAATAATAATAATATGAATATGAATTATAGAATATTAAGCTAAGCAATCAAATTCGTAATAAATAGCAATAGCAGTAATCAGATTTCTTTGTGCATTTAATTCTGTCATACAATGTTTTTTGATAATGACTCATAAATTTCATTCTTTCAAAATAATTTCCACAAGTTTTTGAAAACCTGCTTTGTTTTTTCAAGTTTCAGTAATTGCATGAACAATTGGTGTGTTGAAAACTTAGGTGAAAATTGTTTTCTAGAAAACTATGGGAAGAATAAAAGTGTCTTCATTACTGCAAAAATACTAGCAATTAGTGATGACAGTAATAGACTGATCAACTATTATAATAATACAATAAGCATTTGCTTGCAAATGTATCATCTGCATTTCGTCCAACAAAAATCTTGCTTGAATGACAGTAAATGCAGAAATTGGCTTCTGAATGTCATGATATGTGATGCATTCTTGCAAAGTTATACGCAGAAAAACACAATAGATCACCAAGATGTTCACAGAATATCATGATTATATTATCTGTCACACAATGCCAGATTCGCTGAAATCGCAATGAAATGGATAGTTTTTTATTTTTTTTGAATATATTTGCTTCAGCTAAAATAAATTGCTACGATGTCTCATGTAGGCTTAGGCTTAGGCTCAGGCTTACAAATCTGCGATGATCGATGGACGATGATCACAGACTTCTGAGCATGCGAAATGCTGCTGCTTAGAAGTAGCAGTAAGAAAGCACTTTTTTCCACATATTTTCTTTGAATCTGAAGAAAAGTTGCTTCTTGTGCACTTCTCTTGCTCCATCTTTTTGTACGTATAACATCAGACTTGCTCAGATTATATCTGATAAAAACATTATTGCTAAAGAATGCAGTGAATGTGTTGAAAATTCATTGCACTGAATAGAATGCTGCGAAAATTCAGAAATAACCAACGACAAAGTTTATTAATTTACCATCAATTACCACTATGAATCAATCATTATTTCGAATTTCAAATCAGATGCAGTTTTGCTATGAGACACGATTGCTACACAAGGGGCTGCATTAAAAGCTGCACCAGATTTACAATGAGTGTTTGAAAGTTATCAACTGTATAGATGTCGGCAGAAGTGTTTTCGTGTTTGCTTGTGTCGAGTTTCGTACTTGTTTCTCAGTTATTTGTTTGAACTTTTATCATTTTGCTTTCAGTAGATTGCATATAGCAGAGTTACTTAATATGGCGAAGTATTGTTTAAGTAAGTTATTCAACTTATTGGTTATTATTGGCTACTAAAAATGCAGACTGTTGTCGTACTCTGGTTTGTTTGGCCTTTACAGGAAAACCAAGTAAACGTCAGTCATGTGCAAAACGCTACAAAATAGCCAAAAAAGTTAGAGATCATAACAGGAAACTGAAAAAAGAAGCGAAAAAATCTGGTAGTTATTTTTAAATCACTTGCTAAGATTTTCTGCAGAACTTAAATCTGCTACACAAGCAATTTCATAATGGAAAAACGGGAAAACGTGCACAATTCACGATAAATTTGATTCTAAACACAAATATTATTTAAAAAGTTGAAAAAAAAGAACATATGCCTCATATGCGTTGGTTGCGATCACCATTTAATTATTATTACGTGCCGAAATTTTGGCTGATCTCACAGTGAATGATCTTATTTTGGCATTACAAAAGTGGGTTGTCTTCGCAAGAAACTAAAGTCTATTATGGGCCAATTATTCCAGAAACAAAGAAGTGGAGGGCTAAAAACAAACCAATAAATGTCCCAAATGATTGTCCATTCAAGGAAGAGGTTCTGATGGAAGCTAGGGAAGAACGAGAACGCATTGAAGCTAAAAAAATTGAGGATAAAAAAGTTGCAAAGCTTGCAAAGCAAAAATGCCTTAAATTTGCAAGCATTGGGACAAAACGGAAATTGGAGGGCTTTTGTGGTGACTTGCAAGAGGTGGTATCAAAAGCCTCAGAACAGGTCATTTATTTCCGAAAAAAAACTTTCACTCTCAATTGAGTGAAGACGTTGGTAGATTGTATTTAACAGTTCATACTTTTTTGAGGTTTGTGGTGGTATTGATATATTACATGCAATCTTTTGATTTGTTGTAATTGTTTAATCACACTACTACGTTTTTCATTTGTCGATATAGTGGTCTTGACGTTAGTAATTCGAATTTGTGTAATGAAGATTCAATTTTCAAGACTGAAGAGATGGCAAAGCTAGTACGGAATGAAAGTATTGAGAATATCGCGGAATTGAAGCAAAAATTGCTTAAGCAGTACGCAAGTGAGGTTCGGAAAACGATTGAGTCTGCGGATATCATCATAGAGGTTTTTAATGTCACTTATTTGTCGAAAAAAAATATGTCCTTAAAAATTTTTCTCATAATGTTTTGAGTATTTTAAATTGTGTATGACTCTAAAATTACGAATTGAAAGAATCGAAAGCTTTTACTGCCATATTTTTCAAGAGTTAAATCATCTAGTTTTGAATTAGTTAATGTTTTTTTATTCACAACTTATAGTTCGGTAAAACACATGCTGAAATGTGCATTTTTCAAGCGTTGGTTACATCTAGTTATTACTTCGTCTAAATGTGATGAAATTTAGGTATTAGATGCTCGTGATCCGTTAGGAAGTCGAAGTAGGAATATCGAGGAAGATATCTTGAAGTCAGGCAAACGGCTCGTTTTATTACTAAATAAGATAGATCTTGTGCCGAAAGAAAATGTCAAGGAATGGTTAATCTATTTGCGTCAGCAGTCACCAACAATTGCCTTTAAAGCTTCAACTCAAAAACAAAACGACAATCTGGTAAGTATATGTGCAGAAATCAGTCTAGTTCCCCTTTCTGAGAAATTGAGAGGCTAAGTCATGTTTCAGCGTAGAATTTCATGTTTAAAAAGACTTCTGTCAAATTGTATTCTTTAGCTGTTAAATATAATTGCCTATTTTTTCCAGGGGCGTTTTGAGACATCGAATTTGCATTCGTCAAGTTCTAAGTGTGTTGGAGCTGATCTTGTAATGAAGTTATTGTCAAATTATTGCAGAAATAAAAATATCAAAGAGTCCGTTCGAGTTGGTGTTATTGGTATGTATTGATATGGAATAAAAGAATTATTGTATATTTCATATTTTTTTTTTAAAAGCAAGATTATTCTGATTATTTTATAGATTCTTTGTAATTTTTTCCCACAGAATTTCACTTGTGGCAATTTTTGTTTTGGACTTATTGTTGTATTGCTGGAGTTGGTGAAGCTTTTGCAAACAGACTTGCGAAAATTTCTTGATTGTTTTTTTAACTGATTTTACGCTCAAAACTTTACCCAGCATTTGTTTCGGGAACATTTTAGGTTTTCCTAATGTTGGTAAAAGCAGTTTCATAAATAGTCTGAAAAGAAAGCGAGTTTGCAACGTTGGTGCGCTGCCTGGAGTAACTAGGTAAATTTTTTCAGACATATCCATAACATAATTTTTTTGTGGCTATTTTTGTTATATTTGCAGGCAGATGCAGGAAATTGATTTGGACAAGCATATCCGATTGTTAGATTCACCTGGTGTGGTATTAGAAATGGAAAGTCATTTAGATAAAAGCGAAATCGCTCTCAAGAATGCTGTGCGTATAGAAAATATAGCTGATCCTATCGCTCCAATACGAGCAATTTTGAGACGATGCTGCATGAATAGTGTTTGTCTTTCGAAATAACATGTTTGTTTCTCTAGGAAGGGTCACTGCTACTATAAACATGAAAAAACTATTTCCTTTTCTAATGATGTACTAATATCTTGAGTTCTTAAATTCTTGTGCTTGTGATCTGTTTTTTAAGCTCATGATTCGATATAATATTCCGCAGTACAGAGGATGTGAGCAATTTCTAGCTCTCATAGCTAACAAAATTGGTCGATTGAAGAAAGGCGGTATTCCAGATTTGAAAGCTGCAGCACGAAAAGTGTGCTTTATTACATTTATTCTCATTATGTTTCATCTGTTTGATAATTTTTTTACAATATTTTTTCTGTGACAAATTTGAAAATTATGTTTGCAGATCCTAACAGACTGGAACAGTGGAAAATTACGCTATTTTACGCAGCCTCCAAAATATGTTGATATGAGTCCCAAGCTGTGTTCAACTGAGTTGCTGAGTGAAATGTCAAAAGAGTTTGATTTGAATGCACTAAATAAGGAAGTCAAAAAATTGGTAGAAAGTATGTTTTTCTTTTTATCGTTTTGGACAGAGGATATCTGCAATATATATGTAAGTTTAGAGCTACCAACCAGATGTTCAGTGAAAAGAAGTATCCAGTATGATCCAACAGTACCAGCTGAAGAAGATGATGGGCAGAATTATGATGTGAGTATGGAGGTTGATGACACAGCAGGAAGAACATTTATCTCGGAAGTGAAAAGAGTTAGTTTTACTTAATTATGTCCCATTTTCAGTTCGATTTGAAGCTTAGATTTCTGAGATATGTTCTTGCTTTGGCACACACTCTACATTTTAATTATATTTATTGTTTAAAAAGTATATAGAATGTTTATAGAGTGTAATTTTGCGACTTTATCACTCTGTCAGCAACTTATATTTTTCATTTTATTCAGAACAAAACACAAGAGAAAGGAGATACGAATGAGTATAGTTTTCCGGAATCATTTGCAATAGATGGGAATTCTCAAATAAATCGTGCAATCAAATTAGCGGTGAAGAAAAAGAAACAAAGGAACAAAAAACTTGGTAAGTCGTTCTTCATTTTTTCGATTCTGTCTTGAACTCACTCACAGAACTTCATAGCCTGCTAATTATCATATATTTTAAAGCATGAAATGTGAAGTTCCAAATTAGTATAAAGTTATTTTTTTCATTTTTTTTCTTACTCTTATCTAAGATTATCCAGTTTAATTCGAAGGACAAATTTCAGAGAAGCGCACCGAGGAAATGATCAATACAATGACTGCTACATCACTCTCTGACAAACAAGAAAACTATAATTTCGATACGATAGAAGACTGAGTTCTCAGCTGTGCTCAGTTTTCAGTCTTTGTTGTTGATATCCATTGTTATCTAACTTTTACTTCGTTTTTTTCTCAAAGAAACTAAAAAAAGAGCTAGTAAAGCATTTTATAAGACGTCACAACTTCTAAAACTGTAGCATGGAAAATAAACGCTCATTCTTTAAAACAAAGCTAATGCACTAACCGAAATCTTTAGAACCAAGATCTGACCACAGGTAGGAGTGAGTTGTAGAACTAGTTCTCATCGGTGGAAAAATTTGCGTCCATATCCAGCATTTCTATTACTTTGAGATTGAACTGTTTTCCACGTTTGGAAAGTCATCCGTTTCAGATACAATACTTTCAGATTCACATATAGTACTGTACACAAGTAATTCAAAGATCAGTCTAGGCAAACAGCAAAGGCATAAATTTGGTCGGCATCGCTTTCTCTCAAAATAAGATCTGTTTTTGGCTAAATCGTGCGATCTTCACATTCCGTATACAGAAGTATGCAAACAATTGACCATCTATATAAGAACACATTTCTTGCCATACATAAAACAAGGAAAGTACAAGAGTGAATATATACAAGGGAGTCGTATCCAGCAATATATAGATACAAGAAAAAATATACCGGAACATTTTGCAGAAGCAAAAGTTTTTTCAACTGAAGCAGGTTCAAAAATTCGTTCTCAAGCATTTTCCAGTTACAAGTACTAAGACCTGATAATCCACAAAATATTAAAAACTGATAGAGCATAAAGTATATACAATATTATGTTTACAGAAATTTTTTCATGTGAAACTTGAAACTGGAGATCTTTCAGCTTCACTAAAAGAGCATCGGGAAGGTCATAACAACATCAAGTAAAAGTTTAGTAAATGGAATTGAACATAATGTGCGAGTAAACTATGAAGGCGACGACTTTTGATGAGTATTCGAAATGACTGAAGAACATGCCAAACTTCCCAAACCTTCGAGTTTGAGTGCTGAAAATGATGACAACATGGCTGAATCCACAGGCTCCATACAAGACGGACAACTGAATGAGCGCATCAGCCAATCATCTACACACTTTTTGTGATAGCAATGCATGCAGGGAAGATAACGAATTTGATCGCAATCGACGAAATCTATCATACAAATAGGACATCTGAAATGAAATACAGAATGCATAAAATTACGATTAGCCTGCAAATCACTGTAATTAATTCTATCTTAGGTACATAAATTACAGCACTAATTATCTCACTTGACAGTTTACTTTTCTAATTAGTTTCAAACTCATTATTTATTGCAGAGAAATGAAGACGAAACCTTCTCGAAATTACAAAACGAAAGGCTATATCATTTGTATCGCATCAACTTCGCAAAGTATTCAAGTGCTTAAAAATTTTGTCCATAGCTCACTCATTTTGCTACAGCAAAAACAAAAAACTTGTTCTCAATTGGGAAACTGCGTTGAATAAGAATGAAAAATAACGAGAGAACTAAACACACTTAAGCTAACCTCGTAGAACTTGAACTAAGTACAGTACAAAATAAATGCAAAAATACTTGTAAGTAATTATAATTACAAGTCACAAGCATGATGAACAAATATATTTACTCGATTTTTCCCATTTTGCCTTCTCTGTATATATCAGCAGGAATCTGCTCCAGCATTGCGGTAATATGGATCTTCCCGGCGTCATCTGCACTTATTTCCTGTTGTCTTGTCTCGCTGCTCGTTTCCAAGGCCAGAAGTTCATTTATGTATGCACTCTGCTGCAAATATATCCAGATAATATAATGTTTTGTCATTCAGTCACAACTTGCAAGAACACAGACAGAAAAATCGCCAAATTTATGAAAAACTATAAAAAATTCAACATTCACAAACTTTTTTTATTGCAGGAAAATTATAAAGTTATTTTTATAATAAAAATAACCTCTGACTCCGGGCGCCTCGGCGAGTTGATGCTATCACCGTTTGAGACATCGGTGATCTCTTCTAGTGGCGAACGATCACTGCTGCTGAATAGATTTGGAAATAGTACTGGCAAACAGTTTCCCATATTTCGCTTTTTTCTCATACATTGATGGTAACAGTAGATCGTAGCGTAACGTAATTACCACATATTACACTTAAAACTGCAGACAAGTGAACAAATACATCAAAAATATTGTGGGGTCTCATCATTTGTCACACTCACTCAGAAATAAGAAAAGAAGCAAGAGATAAAAGTTTTTACAAAAGTTTTGAGAAAACAGTACTGTCAATGGTGAATTCACAAGTAATCTTCACACAAACTATCAGAATAAACCATATGCAATACCTCGTATTGTTGAAAACTGATCTTACTCACAGCATGCTATGTTTAGTGGTAAGCTAAAGTTTGTGACAGAATATAAGCCAAAACGTGTGGCACGTGAAAAGTTGCATATGGAGGTGGAAAGATAGAGAGATTCTCAATCACTGTGAAAGTCGACCAATATGAGAAAATGTGTTAGTGCATATGAGTGTGTGAGTGCTTTATGATTGTGTGCGCGCATGTGTGTGCGTGCTTGCGTACGTGTTTCTACGTGAGACAGATTTTAAAAACTGGCAAACATAAGTTAATGTATCCCAAACATGACAAAAAACTGTTCATTAGTACTTAACTAGCATGTGTTAGACTTTATAGAACGCCCTGTTATTGATTTTTCCCCAAATCACATTGAGATATTTGCTGATAATCGGTAACGTAATCTAGCATTTTTTTGGCAACAACAAAAACAGTTAATTGTTGAGTGATATGGTCTTGCGAGGAATGAAATTTGGTCCCGTAGCGTATACTCATCAATGAACATCCTGTACTTGATATACTGGAAACACAGTCTCATTTCAGTCTTAACGTCAAGTAATTTAGTGTACTATTGCTTAAGATGTACATTCATCTGTTTTTGCTCTCTTTATTGAATCCTCACTACAGATTCCATATAGTTGGGCATGCGAGACTGTCGGGATGTGATTCATTTACGTAAGACAGTCGCTATAAAAGTCGAATTCTGACATCTAAGAGCACTGCCATTTCGATCCATTACTCATTGCATGATGAATTCAATAATATTCAAAGTTAACATGTCGTAGAATGCATATTTTCTTAAGTGATCTAAATAATAATCTTAACGGACGTGGCTCGGCTACATGTTTCCGTCTTCATGTTTGAAATATCACCTGTTTACTCAATGCATTTGATCATGTAAGTGAAAAGTTTACAAACAAAATCTAGTAGAGCACATTCATCATTTCTATCGTATGATGTCATGGTATCTGAGAATATCACTTTATTTGCTTACCACCATAAATCTGCGAGTCCAGCTTTCAATCAAGTATATATACATACAATTACCAACAGATACCATCACTGATTCTTTCATTTTCTTTTGCATATCACTCAGCCGCACATCAATCATGAATGTTTCATATTTGTGAGCAGCATATCTACTTTCAAAATAGGGACATGAAGCAATAAATAGTATGCACATAATTCTAAATATAAATAGCGAAGCTGATCTGTGTGCTCATTGGTTGAGTGAGCAAACAATTAGCTTTTTCATGGTGAGCCTAAATGGGTCTAACATTACGCGTACAATGCATGTGCCAGTCTTATGTTAAAAGTTCTGCAATCACATGAACATCAGAAGTCTGAATTACGTTTTTAGAGAGTATTTTGACTACTTCATTCCGCCAAATCATTCCCCAACACCGAATTCCTTAATGTAGAGATCATAGTTCAGATTTAACCTTGATGTTAGTAAAATAATGTTCAGAAAATGTGGATGGTCAAGTATTTGCAGATGTAGTTCTTGCCGAGTCAGCTGATGGATATGAAGCAACACTAAAGTAGTCGGCAGATGTGTAACTCGCAGCCGGAATTAATGACTGTCGTTCTGAATAAGCTGTATAGTAAGAACCAGTCATGGATAATTCCGACCCCAGCGATATTGATGAGCTGAAATGTATATTCAAACGAAATATTCCTGTGCATTTCAGGAGAAAGCTCTCAGCTTTCTATACAATAAGGATAAATCTAAAAAGTTAATTTATTTAAGGGTCTTTTAAATCGTAATCAGAAGCATAAATATGGATTGCCTAGTTACTGACTGAACAAAACACATTTAAAAATATTCACTCGAAGTTTAGTTCATGGACTGGAGCGTCCCTGCTTGGTATCTAGATGAGTCAGATAGACTTGTCGCATAGTTAGTTACGAAACAAGTAGTAAAGAGGTACGGTGTTAATTTGTAATCACAATCATCGAGCAAACTAATAAAGATGGACCTTAATTTAACATTAGAGAATCGCTCAAAACACGGCTAGCAAATTTCACCGCCCTTTCGTTCTCTTTAGATTCTCTAAGCGCAGGTATTCGTCAAACTGTTGTCAGGAAGAATAAGCACTACTAATTAGTTCTGATATACTCGTGCAGATGGATGGCAAAACGCTTAAATAAGTGGTTGAAATTGCAAACAAAAAGAAATGAAATTAAATGAAGAAGTAAAACCAATCACTTATGCCAAAATGAAGGTCATTAGCTCAATGTGAGATGCAAATGAGAGACAGGTAGACAGAAATACTTCATGAAATAAAAATTATAACAGTCATACGATAGGTCTGGATTTATGCTCACGATAAATGCAGTCAAGTCTGATAATTTTTATTGAATATCATAATAACCCAACGTACAGATAAAGTCTGCAAAAGGTGAAGCAAATGTGACGCAAACAGCATTAGAAAAAGATACCACTATTGATAAGCCATTTTAACAATATGCAAGTTCACATATAAACGTAAATTTTCATCATTTTGAAGACAAGCATACAAATTGAAGTTTAGCTTCACGAAGCTTTATTAAATTTTTTATTCGCTCTACAGATAATAGATAGAACTGAAAATAAATTGCCAGACGACTAATGTTAGAAAAAGGCAAAATGTAAGATAGGATTAAGCAATCAACGGTAACAGGACATGAAAAATGATCTCCAAAAGTAATGATAATTTTTTATACCTTTCTTAAAGGCAAAATGATATGCTCGAAATGTATTAATCCTATTTCACATTTAATAAGTAAATGACTGCAACTAAGACCATTACAAAATTCCCATACATTTGAAAAACTATTTAAACATTTTTGGTGGTGCGATGGAAAACAGACATTTTCACAACTAACTCTCAATAAAAGATAAACTATTACGATAATCAACTTTTAAACAATAATTATGGTACAATGCTATACATACAAATGATTTTCAATATTGAATGCAATCAAACCAGATTACTGAGAGATTAGCACAATGTCTGACAAGCTCTAGATCAATCATCTTTGATTAGAGAAGCATAAATGCTGGAGAATAGTAACTATTCAGAACGCTTTATATTTATTATGACTATTCTTTAAATCACGGACAGTAAATGAGGATAAACAAATAATCGTTATGAAAATATTACCAGGTGAATTCCACTTAAGCAACAGAAAAGCCATACAACATATTGAAGTAACGATTTCAATACCTCTCAGCGATATGTCGCAATGTGATGAGAAGTAACTGGATTCGAAGATGGATGCACATATATTTGCCTAAAATACGAAAATAAACAAAAATGCCCATTAGACACAATTAACGAACAGAACGAATGAGTCATTATCAACAGACGAGCAAACAATAAAGGCTGCACCAAAATATGGCATGGGTGAGTACGGATTTCCACGAAGAAATGTTATCGTGTTCTTGGACAGATTCAGTGCAACAGCTAACAATCTGCATGTCACTCCAGACACCAATAAAAGATGAGAGATCTCAATTTAACACCATTTCACACACAGCATATTGAGATGAGACTTTTAAGACAAAGATTTCGTTACTCTTTAGCAATCTTCATTTATATTCTTTACTAGCAAAGTAATAATTTCCGATACAATCTTCAACAGTGAGTAATGCAGCGCAAATAAATTCAAATGCACAGAATATTATCAGAATCTTAGCCCTCAAGCTCAATAAATGCTCCTATTATTGGTTGAAGTCAAAGGAATGCTAAACACTGAATTAGTTAATATGGGACTCTGCACAACTAACATGCAAACCTCTGATTATTGACAAAATGAAACCAAAAAGAAGAAATACACATACTCTCCATGGCTTCAGAGAACTTGAAAATATGCATGACTTAACAGAAAAAGCTGTATTATACAGTATTTGTGACTATCATGAGCAGGTTAGTACCAGCACTCCATTTTATCAAAACATTTACTGCGCACAGAATGAAGAAGCAACCATGCTTCCCGAAGATAGCAATAATTAACTAGAATAATGGATCAGTCAAAAAAGTAAAAAATAGATCAATGAATTACTGATATAAAAAATCAAGAGACTATAACAGATGCTAAAAAATTCACCTCGAATTACGAAAAGAAAGCAAACATCAAAACCAGATTTATCTAACGGACAAAGTAACGCTGATTCATTTCACCAAACGTCAACTGTATCACATCTATGATATGAAATCATAAATTGCTCCCAAATCCAACCTATTGCAACTAATCAATTATATCTTGAGAGTAGAACATACGGTCATTTAGAGATCACACTGCAGATACAAAAGGAAAAATATGATATTTAACTTGGAGGTTCTGTCGATAAGATGAATATTGTTTACATTAAATAACTCCAGTTTCACCTCAAGAAAAAATGCCGAGTATTTTATGCTTAGTCTTGAATATTTACAATAACAACTTATCGATATAAGAGTTTTCTTTGAAGTGTATGTAAACCGAATCATGCTTGAAGACAGCGACTGGAACGTGAAGAAATTGAATGAGACAGACTGCCTCTTCCGATAAATGCACACACAATCAGTAAGAGCCAAACTAGCAGTATCAGCCAATACTTAAAAAAATTGACTAATTCGTTCTTGTAATAATAATAACCGCCAACTAAAATCTTTTTCATCCTAAACCATCAATCTTTCATGTTCCTTTCCAGTTTTATTGATAGGAATTTTGATTGCAATCAGAGATCACTGATTTAAGATTTAGAGAACACCGATGTTACCGCGCTTCCACCACTAACTCCATTGACTATTTAAAAAATTAGATTAAACACCAAGATCCAGATGAATTTGTTATCAATTCACATTTTTTTCAGCATGTAGACCTATAAATCTAATAAAACTGCAGCTGTCCGAACATGGCAAAAAAATAAAATTAATTAAAGTGATTTTTTTCGACCGATAAAGATGAAAGCCATGCACCACAACATTTTGGAGACAAGTATATTTTCAGAATTTACTCGATATTAGATCTTTATGTGACAGAATTTGAATGAACTTGATCATCTTTGTCAGAGAGAACAAAAACAAAAAATCATAATGTGTGAAGAATACCTCATGAAAAGATAGATAGGTCGAAGCATAGAAGTACACTGACAAATAAAAGAGTTCATGCTGAACAATTTAGTGCGCTGCAAGTTATGAGGAGAAAAACAGATCCGGCCTCAATGGTAGACAACCAATAACGAGTAGTGATAAAAAGAAAGGGGAACAACAATAACAGAATGACGATGGGAGCTATATATTAGAATTGCGAACTAAATTCATTCCACTGACAAAAAGAAAACCATCGAAAAATATTTTATTTCAATCCTTCCAGTCTGAAAGCAACGCTCAAAACTGAAAACTTCTAGTATATAGCATTCCAATTTTTCAAAAAATTGCTGTTATTATGGCTACTTCACTATTGCAAAAATCCCTACATTCCTTTTCCTGACAAGACACAAGCTTCAACAACTATTACTGTTGTTCCCCTCCGACTACGACAGCAACTATTCGTACTGCTGACGTAATTTTTATGTGAAAAATTATGAATTCCATGACAGTGTCTCAAGAACATTCAAGTAGGCGTGACAAGCAACCACCATTTTATATCTAAATACTACAAATTCGGTAAATGCAGTGGAAAAATTAAAGGTTTTCAAGCTTTTAACTGCACTTTTATTACCAACAAGTTCAATATAGTCATTCCTAATCATGAAATTTAAAACAACACAGATCCATGCCAGAAAATTATATGCTGACAGCATCAGTTTCCTAATCATCTCGGAAAGTCATTTCGACATGCAAATTCTACACTTTCCGAATACAGTGTGTTATGGCATTATCACTAGTCAGCTCAAATTAATGGAATACAAATTAAGAATCATTAATATAACACGATAGGGCGAATAAGAGTGAATTCTGCGATGAGAATACGGTGAGTGAAAAACACAACGGATTGCATTTATAACAACTAATTATGCCTAGTGAATTGATAAATTAGTGACGAAAAAAACACCTTACTATATGTAAGCGCTCACAGTCTTTGGTTCTCTGAAGATAGCAGATATGTTGGCACACGTTTTTCATCACCAATGTTGTTGATATTTGAAGCCATTACACCAGACACAGTTCCATCAGACGATGACAGAAACTGAACGCGATCATTACCTTCACCATTTCTTACAGCACCACCCACCCCAGATTCCATATCCAACATTGGCAAGATTCGCCGAGCAGTCGATGATAATCCAAATTCATCATAATGTAGGTGACACGATGGTATTTCACGACGTGAGAACACTTCAGCAACAAACACAGCCTAATTTACATTTTATTAAAGTTCATGTATTGAATAAAAGTATCATTGGTATAGCAATACAGGAGATATATATTGACAAACTAAGTATTTAAATTCATAAAGATATTACCGTCTTCATATATATATATATATATACTTGAAAATCTTTTTCTCTTGACTTCATTAATTTAAGTGATAAAGCAAAATGAAATTAACGATATTTGAATAAGAAAAAATGACCAACCGTCACAATGCCAATCACCGAACCAAATATTGTACCCACTAATACATCTGACCAATGATGCTTGTAATTGCTGACACGGGTATAAGCAACAAAAGTAGCACCACCAAATAATACAAACTGAATCACAGGCAAAACTAAACGACTGAATAGTGGCCGGTAAAGACGAGCTTGCAAGTAGAGCTGCAAATTAATATGAAATATTACTTAAAACAAAAGTCCAATGTTTCTTCAAAAAATTATACCATCACTGATTCTAATTCATCTGAAACATATAAAACGGTCATTGAGCTGCAGCATTGTTAAGTTGAAATTTTTATTGCATCTTACTGTGTCATGAAAGTTTTAAGGAAACTTACAACAGTATACCACGCAGCGTAAAAGCTGAAAGCAGAATGACCAGAGTAGAATGAAAGCATGGACTCTTGAACAAGAAATTTGTCCGTACCAGTGCACTCAAAGTCTGTGATGTACTTGTGAGAATTAACTGGACAAGTATCAAAACCCTGAAATGTGAATTCAAAACGAATCTGTGTGATATAAATGCTAACAAGTGTCATAAAAAACTGATAATAAAGAAAAAAATGATCGTAAGGAAGAGAAAACCCTATTTCTAGAAATTAAGGTATAGAATTATTTTATAACAGAAAGAGAAAAATATCTTAAAGAATCTAAAAAGATGAAACTGAGTAATATCTTTTGAGCTGATCAAACTTTATAAACGATATGTCACTAATTTGACTTTAGACACCAAATACTATGTTCACTTTATTTATTCAAACGAGTCTTCGTTAATAATTAGTAATCAAACAAATGTTTTTAAAATAATCAAGCTTTTAACGTAAATTCGAAAGATTGTATAAATAACAGAACATTCAACACTTTTTCACTAGTAAGAGTGGTCATGTACCATTTGACACACGAACTGTACTGAATAAGGAACACAATTCGTCTACATTATCTTTCAAAATTTATCAAGCAAAAAACAAGAATCAATTTAGCAATTATGCCAAGCTTATTCGGTCTAATCAAAAATGATGACATTAAAAATTTTTGAACTTGAAAAGTTGCATTTGTGCGTCCACTATCATTCTTCCAAATGAATTTTTTTTTCAATTCTGCACATTACGCAGAGAGTAAATAATAACTGATAAGAGATTTGCTTCTCATGAAAATAAGAAGGAAACGGAATGCAATTCATATAATCATGAGTTCCAAAAAAATGTAAAACGAAGTGGATGTCATCTCTAAAACGGTCCAATTCTATTGAAATGACGACCGTGATGATTTTCTAAAAAGCAAAATAGCAAATATGAAGTTTATGTATTGCAAAAAAGAAGCATGTATAATACAAATGATCCTATTCTGAGTGTACATGCTATTTTCCTAAAACTTATCAATTTGATATTTGCTGTTTTGAATTATAGAACATCCTCTCAACCACAATTTTTTGAAATAAAAATTTAAACAATGATGCTGAGTAAGTTTATTTTAGAGAATAAAATAATGTGCACCGAAAATTCAGTACCAAAATAATTTTTAATACACCAAAAATAGCAATCAAATAATATAATTATGCATTGAAATGTGAATTTCCAAAGTTAGATGACTATCTGAAAGTTCCCGTAGAGTTCATGGCCTACCAACAGCGTAAAAAAGTTTGCAGCAACTAAATGAATTCCTAATATCGAATTTATATTTTTTAATAGCTAGTTTTCCAACATATTAAAGTATTAAAGATACTTTTCTGAAATCAGTAAGCAAAACTCATTTAATCTACCACTTCTGATCTTTTTCGCAGATTAACCCTGCACTGAAATTTCTGATTTCTAGTAAGAGAAGCAACAATACATTAATTTATCAATTTGTAGAACTTTCACACTAATAAAAATATCAATCTCATTTGTTTGTCATTAATAATTATAACAGTCATTCATGAAATTTTTCGATGGTAAGGATATTAAATGAAACATGGAATACTGTTGTCCTTGCTGATCTTAGTCTTTTAAAGTTCACTATAAAAAACTGATAGTAGATGTTTACATTGGGGGTAGATACATTTTAATTACCTATCACTAAACTTAACTTTCTTGATTTAGAACAGTAATCGATCACTCACAAATTATTCTGTAATTTAATTAAGCACCTAATCTCTGTAATATCTTCTTGCTTATTATATGAAATATACAGGATAACTAATATGTAGACGAAAAAACAGAAATAAATGAATAATTGAGAGACCAGTATGTTTCATCAAAAAAGCATTACTAATATTCCCCTCATTACATTGAAAAAACCAAAAATATCAACAGAAAAAATGTTTATATTACAAAATATACCTTCGGCTTGCAAATGTCCATAAAATGTGGCCTGTGGCGTCCAATTGTATATTTCGCTATGTCTACCATGAGCTGATTAAACACAACACCAACAAGAAAATATCCTAAAAATTTATAACAGTCTCATATATCATAGAAAGTCAAAATTATACTTCCTCTAAGATTATAACCATCAAACTTCGATGCGGTTTTCAACAATAATAAAAGTGAAATCAAACAGAAAAAGTACGAAATCAGATTTCTCTAGTTTTAAAGCATGAAAATAATGTTAAGAATGGGTTGCGAAAACAGCTCATTGTATCAGATGCGACATCCACGCCAATGCAACAAAGCTCACACTCACCGACAAAAATGTAAAGACGAACAATCAAACGTGGCACTCTATACCGTCTGCATCGATAATCCTTAAATTCGTGCTGGCATTTTCGTTCCCAAACCAGTGTACGAAACATTTCCGTAGTAACAATCTGATAATTATTATTCTTAAAATTATTTTTGAAAACTAGGGCAAGTCAAAAGATTTCATAGAGCTGTTAATTACGAACAGTTAACAAAAGACTGAGTAAACTAACAAGAAAAACTGGAATGATGAGGCCAACAACAATAAGCATGTGTCGGGAAACCGTCGATGGACGATAAGGATATCGAATAGATTCATCATCGCAATAAAAACCACGTTTATATGGCTGAACCCATTTGTGAAATATCAATAAGGGTACAGCTGAAATTTTGGTAAAATGAGCGTAAAGTAAGCAATTTATCACTTATGACAAAAAGAGAAAAAAACGGCACAAATAATTAATACCATGAATATGCACACATTAGCTCACTAATGCTATACTATGATGGAAGGAATGATGAACGTGAAAATTCGAAAATTTTGTAAAACATTTAGCAACTAAATGGTCAGTACAAAGTTGGCATAAACAGAATAGCTAATCTACTTTACATGTAATACAACAATACTGCTAAATAAATAATACATTTACTACCTATTCAACAGCATAGCTTATTGAAATGCCATTAAATAGTAGTAAATGCTATTTTCACGTAAAAGACTAGCCAAAAAGTTAGGTATTTACTTTAACCACACAATTTAAAGTGAAGATAGACTTACTTGTGCCTACTTGTCATAAATATGCAAAAAAACGTCATAAATTGTTTGCAAGAATTATAGTTAAATGAACACGTCATTACAAGAATATTTCAGTACATGAAATACTGAAGAAACTAAAATTTCCAAAACATAACTCACCGCATAATAATAAAATTAGAAAATCGGCAAGGACTCTTGAAGCACTAAGTTTGAAGGTCATATTGCTCATTCTATACAGAGCAGCTCTTCAATGCCAACAAAGCCTTGTTTATGTTGCAAATACAGTCAGTCCAGAATGTAATCAATAACTATTGTTTTAGCATAGAATACGAAGAAAGCGAATATATCTCAACGCATAACCAGTTTGCAAAACTGCGTAGCATCTAAAGTAAACAATTGAAGATGGGGCAAAAGAGAAATAAATACATTCATCAAGCGATATGAAATGCAGAAAAGTGGGTAGAGAGAAGACGAACGAACGGAGGAGCAACGATTGCGCGTTTCTTCCCATAAATAAATCAATGCAAGTGTTTGTCATGCAAGTAACACAACATGTTAGTTAGTAGTCATATAGTTTTCTGTTTTACAGCTTGCAATGGAGCGAAAATGATCCACGAAGTATTAGTTTTCAAGAGCAAACATAAACGTAATAATAAATAAGGGAGGAGTAAGAGTGCATATCTTAACCTCATTAATAACGTGAAATCAGTTATCAAAATTAGTGCACTAAAAATCACGATTATATCCTCCTTACGTTCCTGATTAACTGCTGATCATGTAAACACAAGTTTGTTCCATTGTTTGATCTAATTCAGCTTAAACAGTACTGCAAATATCAATTTAAAATTATTTCCTGTTACTCAATTTATAAATAATGATAAAACGTTTCATTCTCAATTTTGGCACTCTTTTTGACATTAATATTGTTTTCAAAAATAAGACTGAAAGACTAGTAGTATTTGAATTAGCAGAAATTAATATAAACAAATATTACAACAAAAACGCAAGCTAAATGAAATAGCAATACTAAGGACGAGAGAATGAGAGAACGAGAAAACGAAAGACGAGAGGGTTGAGTGCTTGCACAACGACTGCACGAAATATCCTTGCACACGTTGCTAGTATCTATCTGCGTTTGACTATTTTGATAGAAGTAAACATCGTTCCACTGACTTCATCATTCAAGTTCACATGCTCAATTACAAAAATTCATCTCTCAGTTAAATATGTATTACTAGCATACTTAACACAGAGATAAGAGAAATAAATGCTCCACACTACTATTCTTTAAGTATAAACAAAGCTCTGAGACTGTTTGCGATTGCTCTTTTTCCACTCCTTTTTATCGCTAATCGCTAATCGCTAATGTTGTAAACACATATACATTCATATACGTGTAAAACATATACGCTCTATGTGACCAAAGGCATAAGTTAAAGCAACTCCTACATCAATAATTTCTTCATTGCGGCTACGAAATTTCAATCACACTAAACTGAATGTAATACAATTGGTGATTGGTGATTAAGTTTCACAGACATCACAAAATAGGTTTTATGAAACATAACCATAGGAAGAACTGACAAACTTGTGTCTTTGAGGAACAGTTATCATAGCTACTTCTTCTAACACATCCACAAATTTAATTGGCTCCAAACGAATTACACACGTGTGAACTGGGTTAAAGCTGACATACATACTATACATACCTCAATCGTATTCATTAAGTATGAATGAAAAGGAGAAGTTAGACTTAACAAATTTATTAATATTACTTTCAGTCAGATTTACTACACTCCATCGTACTAGTATGCTGCACCCATTTGTGAAGGAAATGTTTGTTTCTATTTAATGCGATGAATCACAGCTACTTGATGTCAAAATCCATAAAGCAACAAAAAAGATTACGACTGAGTTGTGTTGGAATGATATAATACAAAATTAAATTGAATGGAAGCCAGTTTTGTGATTCAGTGACACTTTAGAACTTTGTGGAGTGCAACTCATAATTACATTACTGTAAGTTTTGATGGCAGATGATGTGGCACTGAGTCATCCTGCAATCATATTACTCAACAAGCTGAAATATTATTCTCAATGCAAATAAATGAGTATATATATATATATGATCACTGCTACTTGATGTCACAAACAGGGAAATAGCTGATTTCCACTCTACAAATCAAATAAATAAACAAATTTTTAATGTAAATATATATTTTAACTTATTTATTTAACTTTACAAATATAAATACATTTATAACTTATTTATTTATTTAATTTGTAGAATGAAAACCAACTATTTCCTATCAAATAAATTGATTGAATGAGGAGATACCTATCTTTTACGTTAATTTTAATACGGCATTGCGTTCGAATTTCTAATCACAAACTCTCTTTGGAGAGAAAAAGTAGTGGAAAGAGATAAAACTCTATCACAACAAAAACCACCATTGATGAAAGGTTAACCACCTTTAATCACTCTCAAATTTTAAAAATGAATAATTCACATCTATACAGGTATGAGTCATCAACAGTGCATTCATTTTTTTTTTTTTACTACCTCAAATTTAGAGATTTTCATTACATTTATAGGAAAAGGTTATGACAAGGAAAATTATTCTGGTAGTTTTGAGTGAATAATTTTATTAAATATTGAACTAATTTAAACCGAACAGCTATTAGTACAATTCGTTTGCGAATGAATATGTAATTTTAGCGCAGTGCTAAACAAATGCATCATGAAGCATCCTTAAAAATAAATTTCAAGCACCGCTTTTTGCTTTGAATAATTATTAATTCTTTACTAAATAACAATCATCTTAGCGTGTTTAAAGTTTTCAAGTTTTTTACATATTTTCCTTGCATTAGCAATTATAAATCTAAGGCAGACGAGCAGAATATCTATCAGAAGCGCCAATTACAAGTGACTGAAAATACCCAAAAAGATTATGCTTATTTTACAGCAAATTATTATAATGACAATACAAAAAACAACAGATTCATTTTTAAGAAAGCGAAGGTTCCTTATCCCAAATCCACCACTGATTAACCATTCTGATGAATTCTTCATTGTAACGCCGAAATCCATTGCGCAATTTTAACTGAATTTCTGGTTCAATATTTACATGCGGACGACCTTTAGTGTTCCCCAAACATTTTGCTGTGTAACGGTCCTTTCGTCGAAAACAATAAAATCCTTTCAGATTATTGTAAACTAGTTGATTTGGCTCAAACGATTCTGGGATATTCAAAAATCGCTCCACTTTTTGCAACTGAAAAAAAAATGAATATGTAATGTGATAAAGTAATAGGAAATTTTCTAACAAAACTTAACAGTTACCGAAATGTATAAATAAAAACCAATCATTTTGAATGTTTTAGAAAGTAACGAAAAAAGTTTGCAAAAGTTTTCAATTAGGTACTTTACTACTGCGAAATATAATAAGCATTAAAACTGACCTGTGGTAATGGATCAACGATGAATTTATCACCGTCTAAAATTAGAAAATTTTTAAGTGGAAAATACTTCAACCACTGGCTCATGTGAAGAGAATAGAGCGAATTGCGCACCGGTTTATAATTAATATTAATTTTTGAAGAGTTGTTGAGAAATGCTTCAGCTTCAAATAATGGTTTTGTCTTATTACGTTCGTGCTTTGTATACAGTACCTATACAAATAGATATATTTGATATTGCATTACACACATGAAAGATGAATTTATAATGCATGGATTATTAAAGCTTGACGTAATGATTGATCATTGTAGTGATCAATGACTTGAATGATCTTATTTGTCAAGTACTTACTGAGTCTACATGAAATTATGAGATAATACGCAGTTGTTTGTAAGATTGCTTCAGGATAAAATCTAAGATTTAGCAAATAAACAATGCTGATAAAATATTAACTATCAAATCCCATTTACCTGAGTAAAATCGCTGATGGTACGAATTACTGGATCTCTAAGAATCAGTATGAGCTTCATGGAGCTATTCAGCCTATGGACTCTTTCTGGTGCGTACTTATTAGTGAAATAAGCTGGCGTCTTTTCGATTGTTACCTTAGTAAGACAATGTGTATTTCTTTTCAGATTCAGTAAATCTCTATACTTTAACTAAAGGTTAAGCAAAAGAAATTAACCTGCTGTGGATATGTATGTGGCATTTGTCGACGATACCAATCTGACCCTTTAACATAAGTTTCGTTGTCATTGAAAAAGTGTATTTCTCGTCGAGCAACTCGAATATAAGGCTGCACAGCAAGAGCGTCTAGCAAAGCTCTTGTGCCACCTTTACGTACACCAATGATTAGGCATTGTGGTAAACGCTGTTGTCGACCACGAGCTAATGATGGTGCTGCTAAAGGCACGCTAAAAAATATTTAAATTGCCAAGTTTCGTATGTTCATTTCACATAAGTCAGGTCTTAATAAAAAAGTTAACTTTTACATTGTTACTTCTCCTTATAAATCTTTTTTCGAATCTTTAGCAAAGTACGAGATTAAATTGATTCATACACTGAATCAAATAACTGATTTCAGAAATGAAAAAATCACAAGTGATGACTTTTGTCACTTGAAAATTAGCAGAGGAGAAAGAATGTTTCAATTTTTAAATGAATCAGTTTTTCAGCTACAGAGTGATTTATCGTTGAAATTTTCCACAATAAACGAATTAAGCTTCAGAAAAACCTTTCAGCACCAACTGATTCAGCATGATCATACTGTCCATACACCGAGGACTGAATCAATTTCGGATAACTGCTGAACATTTGAGCGTTCATTAAGCTCATATTTATTACTACTATTATTGTGAGCAGGATACATCCCATTGGAAGTATTGTCACTTTTAACGATGATTTCTCCATTTTTCGTTTAAATTCATATTTATTTATCTGAAATGAATTATAAACTCATCTGTAACTTCTAAAGTCAAATCATTTATATAATATGATTAATTATTCAATTCATTTATTTATATACTAATTGCATTTCAATTACAAATTAATGAATGAATGAACTGAAGATATAAATGCTCACAGTTTTATATATATATATATATAGTAACATATAAAAAAAATTCGTATCTAGCTGAATAAGATTTTGATGAAAACAAGTTGGGAGGGAGTTTAGAAGAAATCCTGCAGCTGCCTTTTTGCCATAATGTAAAATTTTCCTTGTTAGATCACTTTTTTACCACAACAACTCTTCATACTTTCAGAAGATTCTGACCACTTCTATGTTTAGTTATGTGTTCAGAAAATTGTTTGATTTTAGTGTAACTTAACATTTCTTATTCAGCAACATTAATTACTATTGGAAAATATTTTATCTCAAATGTGACTGTTTAGAGAAGACATTTATGATTATATTTTAAGTATGATAGTTTAGTATAAAAATTTCTGAATGCATTTAAAGTTTAATTTAATCACCTAAATCACTTAATTCCATGAGTATAATCGGATTAAAATGAAATAAAATTATGAAAAAAAATCGTACCAAACGGACTAAATTCTCGCTTGAATAAATACTATTTGAAATAAATGCCATATTCAGTTATATAATACACTTCTAAGCACGTTATCAATTTCAAATTTCCACTAGCTTTTGATAAACGATCCCAAAAGTTGATAGATATCAAAGATAACCGGGAATCGCAAAATTACAGTATATATGTCCATCGAAATCAAAACTTGTAGTAAATTTTAAAGCTTTAAGCAAAGATATGCTTATAAGTTGAACAACTGAGATTTATGACACTTCTTTAAAGCAAGTGGATGCATTTCTCTATATCAACATTATTTATGACCGTAAATTTACTGATTTTAGAGAAAAATTTAACATTTTTTTTCAAGAAAACAATTTTTTTAAATGTATAATTTAAGAGATTAATTTCGATTAAAATATATAACACACAAAAGCTGTAAGACTAATGACAAGAGTAGCATGATCAAATGGATAACTTGACGCTAATTTCTCATTGTTCTGTTTCACTCTTACAGTAATTTTTTCATAAACACATTAAATATTAATGTGAATTTATGCAGTATTAGACATAAGTAAAGTCTAAAGTTTGAATATAATAGATAATTTACATTTTTGTTGAAATGTTTCACTATTGAAAGTTTATGCTTTTCGTCCTTCAAAACTGGCATTGCTAACTGCATGAACTTCAAATTTTTCCAACCATTAAAAAAGCAGAAGAATTTAAATTTAAGCACTTTCTTTAAATTTCCCTTTTTAAAAAAGTAAATCCATAGACATTAATCAGAGATGATAATGTAGCTGCCATTATAAAGATTGTAGAGAAGAACAAATGCTGCAGCTGTTATCCAAATACAAATCAACCTCAGCAAATTTTCACTCGCCCCTTCCTTATAGAAACACTGACAGACATCTCAGTTAACTGATTGATTGATCAATTGCTATATATTTACAATTACAAGAAAGTTGAACTAGTGTAAAGAGTTATACTCTCATTTAAAATATTAATCAAGCATGTCTAACAAATATCAACAACAACAGCTATCCGCTTTATGATCGAATCTTGAACTCATACTAACAATATCTATTATTTAATAAGTCTAATGAACTGCCCAAACAAATTAATCTTTTTAAAAGTTTATTGTTAAAAACAAAACTTGTAACATTTTTGCATTTCCACACAAGTAAATTTATTCATTCTATTTCCTTTTTTCTCAGTAATACACACTACAAATTACATCTACAATACAATAACTTCCCTCACATGATCTCAAGAGATAACAATTAAATAAATAGATAAAATGAAAAATTTTCTTGCACATTTTACCGAACTGAAACTTACTTCTAGTAAGTGTGATATAGAGTACTAGCACGTACATAACAAATTTTTATTCATAAAGCAAAATGCTAACTGAGATACGCAATATATAGCGAACCGCTGAATTTATTAACAGAAGCAAATGAGATAAAAAATTTCCGTAGAAAGTGCATCTGTCAATATGATTTATTCAGTAATGGAATAAATGCATTTTTTTTTTTTTGCCTTTATCAATTAATATATGGCATTTAAGCAATGATAATATACAAAATAACATACAAAAAAATCAAAGTGTATTAGTAATACATCTTTAAAATTAGTTACCTATAACTATTCGTATAGTGATCGACCAAATCTCACGTGTACAGAGCGGAGTTCCACACCAGCATTCTTTTTTTTAGTACAAGCTTCCACCTATGTTTCCTTCCATCTCTCAGGGAAGAAAGCGAACTTACGTACCATACACCTTTTTTGCAAAAAATAAATTTTGAAGTCAAAAGTAGAATTTCAGTTACTTGCGAAAACAAAAATGCCCAGAGAGCATAAAACTTATAAATATTTAACGTAAACGACTGCCGAGCTCACGTAATGCTGACTTACAGTTCATCTACTATACATTTTGCCTCTTAATTAACAATTTTCTTAAACTGAAATATGAAATAAACAAAATGTGTAAGCAAATTAAGGGTAAACTGAAGAACTGAAAAAAATTGTAGCATTTGGAAACAATTAATATATTTTTTGTGTTATTTTTTTAAAACAAATTTGAGATGAGATTTGCTCATCCAAATTTTTGCTTTCGCACTTTGACATGTTTGCTATGCTAAAAACCGTAAAGGCTGAGAAAATTAAGCACAAATAAAAAACCAATGATGAAGTGATAAATAGCGCGAACACCAAAATTGATTTAAGTCTACAAACTTCTAAATGAAGCTCATTTTCAATTTTTGAGATAAAAATGGATCCTTCCAACAAAAATTATTTTTGCGTAAAAAATTAAATGCTTCCATGACAGTACTGGGGTAGAATAGCATTCAGACAGCAAATATTTTTAATCAGTTATTCGACGAAAATGTAAAAATACGAAAAAAAAGTAGCTTTTAAAAAAAGTCTGATGATTTGTGTGCTTCTCAACTAATAAAAGTCATAGATCAACTATTTATGTTTAATATAATAAGGATTACGAGATGGATCAACTAACATATGAAGCACAATATAAGCAAAGCAACTATTCATCTATCCATCTTATCTATATAGGAAAAGAAATGTGTAAATAATTGTTTATAATATGAACCATAAGCCAAATGGAAATTTTCTACAATCCACTAGTCTCTGCAGTAGATAAATCTAAGAGAAAAAGACTAATGTTCGTTATGATGCACAAATATATTTTCAAAAAATTTTCCAGCATTTGCTTTCCAATATCTTTTATTAATTTTCATTTTTTTTAAACTGCAGAAAAAGGGAAAGCAACTTAAGTTCTTTATCAGTAAAACAACTATATGATACATGCTTTTCATCTAAAATAATGATAATCTATAACTATTTTCTTCAACTTTCTTCCAATTTAAGAACAGCAACTAAACTTTCCGATCACCAATAGAATAATTCTCTTCTACTTTCAAAATCATATTCTAATAATTACCACTACTTATAGAGCAGATAAGGTATTTGATACTGTCTCTGATTTTTAGCACATTACATTCTTTATGAGGTTTAAAAATGTTGTTGCAAAAAAGAAGAAAAACATGCACTACAATGGGTGTAACGACTATATGTGACGAAAATGGAGCAGAAAGATAAAATAAAACTTATCTAAAAGATAAGTGATAATTTTTTACAAGTATCTTTACTGATTAATAGGAACAAAATAGTTTAATATGACGAGAACATATCCTCTAACAACCATATCAAAACAACAAATTAAATTTAATAATAAATTATTATCCTATATTTTAGCTTGCTGAAACGTTAAATGTTGTAATTTCAATACTGCATCAATTTTTCATTCGATTCATCGACTTTTCATAACCACAATATTGTGAATTGCTTAGAGTGATTACAAGTGTTATTTTTATGTTTACATATATATGATTTTTAAAATAATCCTCCATATATTTTGGTATCTCTTTGATAAATGATTAAGTTTCAATTCAAATATCACCGCAGACGAAAATGATAAAGTACAAAATAATGAAAACATTGGTTAGAATTGATAATTATAGCTTATAGCACATATCATTTTATTACCAAAAAAGTTTCATATATTCTAATATAAGCTGATTTTGATCGATCCATCATAATTTATGCATTTTTTGCTTTCAATTCAATGAAAATTTAATACAATAATGCTGTCAAAATATTGTACTGAATTGTTTACTTCAACATAGCATCAAATAACACTTTTAATTTTTTGAAAGATATTTTAATTACGCAGCAATTTATGAGTAAATATGACAGAAATGAACTTCACAAAAAATAAATGAATAAAATATCTATCCACTAGCATTAAATTATTAATTATGGTATAAATATTAACATATTACAGAGCAATAAAACTACTCAATACAATTGTATGCCATAAAATTGACAGTATTTAATGCATTATTAGCAAGGCAAATTATTTTCATTTTTTGCCTTCTCATTTAATCACTTCTCTTCTTGCCTTCTCTCTTCCTCATCTTTCTCACTTACTGCTTCTGTCCATAACGTTTTTCCTTTTCTCATCTCATCCTTTCTTCACTTTTTCTATTTCTTTACATTTTTTCTGATTATTTTTGCTCTCTACATTTTTCTTGTGTTGTTTGTTTGATTCAAAATGAGGTATGGGAAAGCGAAATATCAAAAAAATATATGGTTAAGATAAAACTATGCAATTCATAATTTATAATTTATAATTATTAAATATGAATAAAGAAGCATTTCCACAAAACAATCTGCAGAAAACAATTTAAAGAAGGATTACAATATGATACGAAATTGCTTGAGAATTATTTAAATAGCACTGATTTGATAACATGTTAGTAATACTTTCCTTACTCAATTTATAAAGGTGAATTTATACAAAAAATTTAATAGTCAAACAATTTGTGCACTATTCTCAATCGTTTCTTCCAAAAAAGCTTCTCACAATTACAGTTACTAAATTACATCAAGAGTAGTCATATGGCTGTTGTTAGTACTACATATTTTTTGTACAATTAATTAACCCTTTTTCTGTTGACTCACTACAATTTTGCTTTTCAAATACTCTCTAAATGCTTATTATAATGAGAATGGCAAAAAGAAAAATCTCTCATAGTATTTATGCAAAAATAGTTCAATAGTACTAATGGTACTATTTTCCTTTCTAGTACTTTGATAAAAATTTTAGCTTAATTAACTTTTGCTACTTCTTGCTTCCTTTCGTACCCTCAGACTCTTAAAGCATTAAATATTGAGGTGAACGAATGCGGATATCTCATACATACATGGAGTGAAACAATATAAAAATATAAGTTACAATGTACATTTATTATTGCTCATTTTATTATGATTGTGAAGTCCATTTTCTTTCTCATCAGAGATGTTAAGAACAGACTATCAGGCAATAAAAATTTCATTCCATTAGTTTCATGACAAGAGAGAAATGCTCAAAAAAAATTATCCTTAATCTATTTTTTTAATTAAAGTGAAACAGTAATTTTTATTATCCTAGATTTTTGATCGAATTCGGAATACTCTAATTTTTACTGTCCAACAAAGCAGTAATAAAAATATGAGCACTGATTTAACTGGTAATGTAGCAGACAGTGAGCTTTTTATGTAAAAAAAAAACAAAAATTGTTATACTGTCAATTGAATGGCTTTTTATTTTTATATTTTGTACATTTCTCATAGATATGGCTTTGGTGAGAGAAAGAACGATTAAGACACGTATCGGTACTACACTACCATCAAAAAGAAGTGTCTATAAATACAGGCTGATGTTTAATGGCACCTCATACCATCTGTTACAATTTACTACAATGATCGGATTTTGTATGTAAAAGCTTAAAACAAATTTCAGCACAGCATTATTTTCTTAGTCCATTCAATTGACTGTATAACGATTACTGTATCTGGTCAAATTCGCAAGTCCTCTTAATTCATATATATTTTTCTTCAATTGCTTTCCATGATTCTCGAATTATATTGAAGCATATTTTTATGGCTTAAAATGTAAATCAGCGGGCTCAACAAAATTAGCATTGCCAGATTTGATTTGTTAACAAAAATATGAAGCAATAAAAAATATCTTATAATTTCCCTAATTTATTCCAGCAATTAAAAAGTTCATAGTCATTCATCTTAGCATCTTTATTTTTACATCTTGCACTCACTCACTTTCATATTACTATTTCTATTATTTTATAAATTTAAATGTCGACAATTTTTGAGTGGATTTTTATCAAAACAATCCTGTGTATGTTATCATTTGGCTGTTAATTATATAAAAATAAATTTAATTCATGACAACAAACTTACTTGATCACAGGAATATTAGTAGATTAATAAAATTATTCTTACTCAACAATGAAGCAAATTTGTACCACAAATGTTAAGCTCACATAAATCAGAAGTAAAATATGAGAAAATATCTAGCCTTTCATATCCGCTTTGTGGTTGACTGTCAAAAATGCCCCTAAGCTCAACATTTGAGAAAAATATTTTTTGTTCAATTAATTTTTTATTACTTTGCTCAGAAAAAAAGTGCTAGAAGAAAAAAAATCAGTACATTATTTGCAGCAACTCAAAGCATACTTTCAGATTTTCTGTGACAATTACAATCACAATCACATTTTAGTTTTTTATATAGTTCATGTGACAGACAATGTCAGGGTCAATTATAGGTTTGTATGTACCAATAAAAATTTTGTAAACGATATCATAATACCTGTTAATAGCGAGAACTCTGAAACACTTATTATTTATTCACATCAAATTGCTCTTTCATTAACCTGCTCATCTAACCTGATTATAACAATGTAGTTGACTAAAATTTATTGAGCAACTTTTCACAAATTGATGTTGATAATTTCTGTTGAGTGCTGATATCTCATCTTTATATGTACTACATTTTCTTTATAGTCCTTTTTCTTTGAACATTAAATAATGAAAACGTTAGGTATTTTTTCTTCATTCATACTTAGTCCATCTTTACCTTATATCAATCAGATATGAGGACTTCGTATTTTTATTTCAGAAGTAACTCTCATTTGGCTATTCGAAGAATATTTTCAAATATGTATTATTATTTTGAATAACAGTTACCTCATGATTATAATCCTTATTACTTTCATTTTGAGGCTTACTTTGGGTAAGCTTTGGCGATTTTATGTTTTGTCGTTTATGTGCTCAATTACTCAAAAATTTTAAGTTTTGCACAAAGATCATCTAAAAGTACAAGTTGTTCAATCAATATTTGCGAAGCTAACACAACTAAAGTTGTCTTGTTCTAATAAAATTTGCATAATGAAGGCGATGAGAACTAAAATGACTCAGCTGGAAAATATAGGCTAAGCTACTTTAGTTATTGTAGAAATTTTTTCGAATATCAACTGCAATCTTGTTATAAAAATTATAATATTGCAGTAATTGTATAGTCTCTCTTTTTTGAGCTATTTACTTTTTAATTTTTGCAAGCCAAATAATTCAAGAAACTTTCATGACTTTTAATAGGCAAGAAAGTAGTCATTTATTGTCTATTCGAAAAAAATAGCTCCAAGCAAAGAACCATTAGTATCAAACCTGTTTTATATTCTATATTATTTTCTACTATGTAACATTTATTTCATCCAAATCAGTAAAAAAAAGGACATCTGATTTTAAATAAAAATTGAATCTAGATGTTAATAGTTACTGAGAAGTAACAAAAAAATGCCAATTTTTTTAGTAGCTTCTCAGATAAATTTTGGTACATTTTCACTGGGACAAAATAAGCGTGGTGATTTGCAAGTAGGATTTAATCAAGCTGCAAATATTTTTGGATTCGGAGGTGATCGTGGAATTGGTTTTACAATTGGTGAAGGACGATTTGATACTAATGGTTACCCTTTGTTTTCTTGCTGTCATTAATGGCACACTTTTAATTCCTAATTTTGAAGGTATTATTTCAATAATATTATGTCTTTTTTTTGCCCGAAATGGAATGTTGGTTGCTGGAGAAAGAGTTGGTGTTGATTCTGATGTTGTATTCAATGAAGCAGAAGGAATTAATGTTGGAAATATTCTAAATGTAAGAAAACTATAATAGTTTTTGTGAAAAAATTTGGATTTATAAATCGTTAGTTACAATAGCAATTAATGAATGTCATTTTCACGTGATATGGGTCATGAAAATCTAGTCTTAGATTTTATCTCTATCCAATTCAATTTTCTTGTTTTTTTCTTGCATTTTCAAGAGAAAAATCGTTTCTTGGCATACCTTGATGGTAAATTTTTTATTTTCTTATAAAATTTGGAAGCCATTATCTGATGTAATATCATTTTGTAGTAATGTAATGCACTGTACTACCGTTCCCTGAATAAATTATATGATCAAAAGTTCATTTACGCTTATGACTATGCTCTTAATGGCTCCAATTCAGTTACTACCACTGTTATTTGTTCGTCGTTAAATATTTTTTCACTTTTGCAGTTTGGAAAAAATCATAACTCTTCGAATAATCTTCCTGGTCAGTTTCTATCTTTTTTGCAAAGGATCGGAAATTTCTTTAGCAGTATGAATAAATCAACAGGCACAACACTTTCACCAGCAGCATATGATAATTCAAATGCTTTGACACGAAATATTTCCCATAATCTTAGTGTAGCAGAAAAACAAGAGCTTTTTGTCCGGTCAAAAGATTACAAGGATTCTGAAAATGCTGACTACAAAAACTATTACAACTATGTTATGGTTAATTTTTGACTAATAAATATTGCATATTTTATGCCACTTTTTTGTAAAATTAGAAACAAATCTTATAGATTACTACTTATTGTCAGTCAAAAGATGAAACCTAATTTTATCAGTTCATCACGTCTTGTTTCTTAATGTCAAGTTTATGCAAGTTAATTTCAGTTTATTTATCCAACATAGATTTAAGTCACAATTTATCAAAAAATAGTTTATCACCAATCTTCTATTCCAGGATGAAAATGATGCTGTTGATAAAAAGTTGAACATTACAAATGATTTCATGGATTAAAAACTATGTTGGTAGACATTCTTATGCATCCATATGCAAATGTGCTAGCTTGGTCTATTATATATTATTTTCTAATTCGAAAGATTGATCTTATCAATCATTAAAAATTATCAATATTTTTTCTTATTTCTGCTAAATATGCAAATTTTTAAGCCACAATTCAAGGTTGAATATGAAGTGTCAAAAATTAGTTAATAAACGTGAAAGCATTATATAAATATTTTGCAGTGAAATGCGACGCATATTATACTTTTATTATTAAGATTTAGATTTTCTGTACAAAATTTACTGAAGTTACTCAAAAATTGTAATTGATATTCGATGCAGTTGCTGGTTTCTCTGTCTAATTTTTTAAATTTTGCTAATATTTCAACCTAAAATAATACGATTTCGATGAAAATTTCATATCCTTTCATCTATAATACAGAAGAAGAAAAAAAGATAAGAAGATTGGAAAGGTAAGAATGAAATTAAAAATACTCTCAGTTATCCTTTTTGACGAACTAAATCTGTTAGGCGACTTCATACGCAAAAGTCGCTAAATTTTTTCAAGTTCGCATACAATCTCTCCTAATGTCAAAGAATAAAGTCAAGAATGAACATCAATATTGTTTAATAAACTCATTTATTACTTAGCAGTCAAAATTAGAAATGTATTTTATTAGCATTCAGTGACATGAAATAAATAAATGAAAGACCAAACAAAAGTCCCGAACTTTGAAGCACAGTAACCACAATACTTTCAGAAAAATTATTATTTATTAATTCACTTGTTGCTTCACGCATTTCAGGAATCTGAAATAGCCATCTTTGATTCACAGCAACTGAATATTTTTATCAAATGAGACTTGGTTCCGTAGGTATTTTTAGCATCTTTGGAAATTCATTTTTTGAAAATTTGCGGCATTAAATGGCAAACAAGTAGCTTATATGATATATGCTGTACTTTCCTTGCCATAAACAATTCACAACTGCACCTTCACTGATAAGAACGGAAGAATCAGTGATCAAAATAAATAGAAAAACAGTGTTTCTACAACATAATTTTTTCACCATTACTACAATACTCAAAAATTATATCTATAATATACATAATTTACAAGTATTACAGTACTGTGCATATATGGAAATTACTCAGGAACTGAGTAGAAAATGTGACTAACCAAAGTTCCCAGGAAAACATATAGGTACATTCCAGACGAAACGGCAAAAACATACACATCAGCGCCTTTACTGTAATCATCAAGCAGTGCTCCAATAATAAATCCAAGATAACTTAATCCCGCTGGTATCAGATTCAATAGCAATGTCTTCTTTAGACCTAATCCCGATTGCACCAAGACTGCCAGTGTGCCTTAAGCCACTTATCTGATATCGAAGAAAATGGTGCAAAACTATATAAAAATAGAAGTTCAGACTGATTCACTCTGTATCAAACAATTACAAATTCAGATTTCAAACGTTTTTAAATAATCACCAAGTTCTTGAGGAAACTGTTGTGCTATACAAGCGATACCAATGCTCAAACCACGTCCAAAAGATTCCGCAAAAGCTACACCATTACTCATCCCATCAACGAAATTATTAGCAGAAGAACCAAATAATATCATATAAGCGATACTAGAAATTTCCAGTGCTTCTGGTCGAACTTCCATTTGTTCAACTACTGCTACAGATACACTTATTGTATCACCTTCGCTCACCTAATAAACTATAATGAATTATTTTTAACATAAAACTAAAAAAAAGTAGCTGTATTTTAATGAATTTACGCAAAGAAATAGTACAAAGTTAACAGTTTACTTGATTTTTGCATCGTTGTAAAGATGTTGAAGATGAAGAATAAATTGTTGCAATTGGTTGCGGTACTTGAAGATTGTTACTTTTTTGTGTATGACTATTTGTATCTTCTATGTGAATTACTGGTACTCGTTTATGCGTTGAAAACTGCAAACGAAATTTTTTCACATAATTTTAAATTTTTCTTGGTTCATAAGAAAAATGTTAACGACATTTTGTCTTTTTTCTCAGTGAAATCTGCTTATCAATCTATAAATTCCATTAATAATAATAAGATTACAAATAAATATTGTACAATTCTTACTGTTCTGGTGATGGCTGAATTAACTGCTGCACTTTCAATTTCTGCCTAAAATGTACGATTTCTTTAATGATACGTTTTGCATATTTTGCAAATATTACTGAAAATTGTATAGTCACATGATAAAAAGTATCAAATAAGTAGTACCTTATAAACTCAGTATGCTAATATAGATTGGTTTAAAAAAAAAATACCTGAATTTGCTCAATCTGATCTTTAGCATAAGAATTTTCACGACTTCTTGTTCTTGAAAGTGCCAAGATAGAATCAGTTTTGCAAATTCCATTATTTTCAACTCCTTTGTATGATTTCCGATGCTGCAAAACTTTTTTTATTAAAAAATAATACACATGTAAAATTCTTTAAAAAAATAATAAATGTCAAATTTTGCAAAAAATATATCAAAATAAAAATGATCATATGATAAGCAATCAATAATACAATGAAATTTGTTTCAATTATAGTTTATCATTGGTTTAGTTTGTACAAACAGTAGATCACCTTGAAATCTTCAAAAATTACATGCAAACACAATTAACCCGTTTAATTTCCATAGCAAACTTGAGTATCCTATCGACAGCAAAAAATGCATAAAGTGATGCAAGAACAATCCATGATTTCACTAATGCTTCTTCATCAGTCACTTCAAAAGCCTGTATGCATATGTAATAAAATTAAAATGCTGAATTAATGTCAGTAATAACTAAACAAAATATCTAACCATTCAGATGTTAAACAATTGATTCTTCAAACCGAAACTGACATGTGGTAGCATGATAAAAATGACGGAACCAGAGAGTGCTCCAATTCCAAGAGCTACCAAAAATGTCATTACACGTTCGTAAAGCTGTTTATTTAGAAGTGGTACAAATAGTATGCATAATGGTGATGCAAAAGCTGAGATTGTTACAATTACTAATCCAACACCCCAAGCTGTAATCAAATCAGTAAAAATTAAAATTAATAAACCTTATGTACATTTTAAAAAATGATCGTTTTTGAAATGTGATGAAATAAAGTAGTAAAATCTGATCTCAACTTATAATTACTTCAAATTGTTTGGAAATTATTCATATGACAAATAATTTTTTCAGAAAATAAAAAGTGTACTACAATTAATTGAGAACTTGAAATTCCTAATGACATTCTGCATATAATTTTAAATATTTTTAATTACACATAAAGGAAACAATATCTACAGCATCTTAAGTATGATAAAAATACCAAAATACAAAAAATGGTATTTAACAAAAAGCTTCTGAGAATTAATTACTGCAAAGAATAATAATATAATACTTTGCCATGTTTCCGGCTTGAAAGATAATGCATCGATTTGACAAGAATTATTCGTTAGTTGATCCATAACTGCTAAGTTTCGTTTACAATTCTATGAAAATTCAGAATAAATACGCTAAGAAAACAATTTAGACTTTGAAATAAATCGGCCATATATGGTGATTAAAGTTATTTAAATAAATAATGTTTTGTTACAACAAGAAAATATACGCTAAAAATCAAACATCAGACACCAGAATCTCGTCACAGTAATAAATTAAGCTTCTTTGGAAGAAAAAAAAAACCTTACTTACATAGCTCAAAAAGATCACCCTCAATTTCTCCTAGAAGAATTTTTCGCTCGCTACTGTAAAACGATTTATATCACAAATATATCACAAGTTCGTTCAAAAAATATGAAATCAATGGCTTCAAAGAAACGACTTTATATTCGCAAAATTCTGAAAGAGCAAAAATTTGTAGGCAAGAATAAAAAATGGATAAATTATTAATTTCGATTTGAATTTCAAAATATAATTATAAATGATAAGTGTGCAGGTAATTGCTGCTATTCTCCACCTCGAGGAATCTACAAATAGTAATACTTTTTTTTAATTTGCAAATAACTTCTGACGGATAAATAGAATTTTAATGACGCGCTTGCCTAAACATTGTCACAATGTAAAGAACTGAAACTACTAGTAATATCATGAAAGTTTTTTCAATTACAAACTTATCCCTCATATATTTCAAATTAAGGCGTCTAATGACAAATTCTGCTTCAGAAAATAGCAATTGCTAATTATAACGATTAAATATTATGGAATTTGAATGAAAAGTAATATCTGAAACTTATCACATAATTATGTATAATTCGTAAAGCATAAAAATATAATGAATAAGAAGTTGTTATGAAAATACTCCCGTGACGTATTTACGGTATCATCGATAATGATATATTTCTCAGGTTATTTTATGGATTCTAAAGCATTCTCGATTCTATTTTAGAATATTCAAGAAATTAACTATAATTTACAAATCTTCAGCAGTCTTTTACACCTTTGTATGCATGTTAAATAGTAACTTTGCAAAGGGATATTTATACAACTGCAAGTATAATGTAAATAAATGCTCAACAAATGCAAATAAGTGAATGATTACTGAAAAATAAATATTAGGCTCTTTCTTCACAAAAGAATGAAAGAAAAGGGTAACAAAGATCAACTTTCCGTTTTTTTCTTCTGTGCATTATTAAGTTTGTTTCAGTTTGGATGTCTGATGACTAACTTTACTCATTTTGT